TGTTGACCAGGATGGTCTCGATCTCTTGACCTCGTGATCCACCCGCCTCGGCCTCCCAAAGTGCTGGGATTACAGGCTTGAGCCACCGCGCCCGGCCCGACAACATCAATTCTAAATGTTCATCCCACTGCCTTTTTCTTTTTACTACCCGAGGGATGGCACTTCCTCATGATGCTTTAGATTCTTTTTCTGAAAAGACATCCCGCTTTTTTTAGTGACCCGGCATGCTTCTCATGGTTTTCCCATGTCTGCCTATAAAGGCTTTCTATTTGGGTGAGGAGTCAATAATGATAATGAACAACAGCAAAGAAACAGCAGGCATCGTTTGCTGAGGGCCTACAATATACACTGCTGTGGAGCCCTTTCAGGCAACCTTCCATAATCTGTACAACTACCAGGTGAGGTCAGTATTACTTTCTCCACTTTATAGATAAGAAAACCAAGACTCAGAGAAGGTTAGTGACTTGACCAAGGAAGGCCATCTTCATAACGGGAGGGCTGAGATTTAAACCATTGTATGGCTAATTCCAAAGCCTGTTTTTTCTGTTCCTATTGCATTATGAGGCCTCCAGTCAGTTTACTAAATGCATAAAGGACTCTGCTTGTTTGTGATTTCTTCCCATCATTATCTCGCAGAATGGAGTAACTTCCAGGTGGTCAGCTCTCCCACTGAAATCCCAGCTGCAGGGTAAGTGGCATGGACATGAAGTGGGCTGAACAGACGGAATGGCAAAGAGACCCCACATGCTTTCCCCCTGCATCAAAAGAATTGTGATTTCATTTCCAAATCACTAACCTGGTGAGGCACAAGCCCAAGAGAGGTCGGAGGCTCGTTCATACGATCGTCACTGCTGCTGGCAATGGCATAGCCCCTGAGGACAGGAAACAATCAGAGCTGCTTATTTAATCCAAGTTTAACACATGGGAGGATGATGTAGCAGAAGTCCTCATAAGATTTATATGGATAACTAAAATGCCCCTTGCTGGGCAGTGGAAGTTAGCAAAAAACTAATTTCCCTGGGACAAGAGGCAAGAAGAATAACTTTAAAATGCATGGTTTGGAGTCAGAAGACCTGAGTTTGTGACCATAGGCAAGTTGCTTAACTTGTCTGTGCTTCAGGTCCACCATCTATAAAGTAGGAATGAGAGAGTTGTGATTAATAAATGAGGAATCGGCCGGATGTGGTGACTCACGCCTGTAATCCCAGCACTCTAGGAGGCCGAGGTGGGTACATTATGAGGTCACGAGTTTGAGACTAGCCTGGCCAACATAGTGAAACCCTCTCTCTACTAAAATACAAAAATTAGACGGGCGTGGTGGCACATGTCTGTAATCCCGGCTACGCAGGAGGCTGAGGGAGAACTGCTTGAATCCCAGAGGCAGAGGTTACAGTGAGACGAGATTCTGACACTGCACTCCAGCCTGGGTGACAGAGTGAGACTCTGTCTCAAAAAAAAAAAAAAAGGAATCTACTACATCAATTGCCAAGTGCAATGTTTGGCATATGACTGGCCGATAAACATTAATTCACTTACTATGAGATAGTCTTGTCAAACATCACAGCACGTTTCTGTACCACAAATTTGAAGTGGAAAATCTTCTAACCTTAACTGTTTGAGCTGACATGAATGCTAATGCAATGGAGGAAGAGGAAATAAAAGTGAAGAATGAATTGGGCAGAACCAATGCACTACTCTGAACAACGGAGTGAAACTTGTGTCACCAAAGAGTTGTGACACAGGGACTGGCGTTTAAACTATGACCAGGGCAAACGTAGCAGACAGAGGGTCAGTGTCAAGGAAGCATAAAATCAGCTCTCAAAGATTTTACTCCAAATATTTCCTGTCAGTGGGTAGCAATAAATTAAATGACCAAGATAGCTAAGGTAGATGACAAAGAGGAAAGCAAAAAAACCCTGCTTTTCGTTTGCCTCAGAGAACCTATACTAGTTATATATGTGACCACAATTTTCAACTGCTGAGGAAAACTCTTAGTCATAGTCACACAAGAAATAGAATATTCATGTTAATTTGCATATTGACTTTCTGAGAACTGGAAAATAAGTCTTCCAAAAATTTGATTTTCTGCTGCCTATACTGCCAACAGCATAACAAAATGGTTAAACATAGTTTGGCGCCACACTGGTTAAGTTAAACCCTGGCTTTTCCATTTACTATTTAAATTTGGCCACTTAACTTATTCTCACTATGCCTCGATTTCCCCATCAAAACTGGGATTAATAATAATAGTTCTTTCCTAATAGGTTTGCTATGAAGATTAAGGGAGGCCAGGTGTGATGGCTCACACCTGCAATTCCAGCACTCTGGGAGGCCAAGGCGGGTGGATCACCTCTGATTACTGAGGTCAGAGGTTCAAGACCAGCCTGACCAACATGGCGAAACCCCGTCTCTATTAACAATACAAAAATTAGCCAGGCATGGTGGTACATGCCTGTAATCCCAGCTACCTGGGAGGCTGAGGAAGGAAAATCACTTGAACCTGGAGGTTGCTGTGAGCCAAAATCATGCCATTGCACTCCAGCCTGGGCAAAAAGAGTGAAACTCTGTCTCAAAAACAAACAAAAAAAAAAGATTAAAGGAGGCAATATTTCTAAAGTGCTCAAAACAGTGCCTAGCACAAAGTAGGCACTATATAAGAGTTAGAAAAATAAAATAAACCATAACGAGTTTGTCCAGAAGGGTATGGAAATGTGGCCCCAAGGGAAACATGTCAAGTTATCTCAGCCCAAAGAACCCGACCTACTTTTTCTAATCTTGTTTTTTTGAGAGTAGATAAAGTAGAATTCTCTGAAAAGTCAGACTGAGAAAAGGCCAAGGTAGACACTGATGAATGACTGCCTACAAAAGCTTTGTTTAAATATTCATCTCCTGCTAGCAAACTCACCCTTCTGGATGCTGCAAAACAGATACCATCAATTCCACAGCCAGGGCTCCTGCAATCATGGCCAATCCTGGACGACTCACAGTGCACTGCTGGTCCAAGGTCCGGTCTCTGGTTGACTGCAAAGAAACAATCATTGATGTGTGCTGAGCATTCTACTCCATTCAACTCTAGCTGTCTCAAATATGAAACGCCTCTGTGACAAAGCTTTAAAATATAACCAGATACTCATTGTTGGCAAAGAACATCCAGCCTCAAGTCATATCATTTCTTGGGATTATCAAGATAAACAAAATATACAATTTAGGTAACTAAATGAGGTAATATGCTAAAAAGGATTAGCAGCTTAAACAAATTAGATTGGGGGATATCAACCAAAAATCGGAGCTTAGCTGCCTCATATAATGGAACTGCATCATGTGCCCCTTTAAGTGACTCAATTCAATTCTACTGTGCTTGGTTGTTAAGTGACAGAGACACAGAAGGAACAATGATTTGCATAGGACAAGTGATTCTGCCCTGCCATTTTAACTGAGCTAACACCTCAGAGTGACCGTGAGATGGGAGCAATAATTTACTCTCCCTGCAGCCCTCAGTTCCTATGTGTCTCTCACAACATGGGCATCACCTCTCTCTCAGTGTGATTCTAGGGTTTACTACAAGCATTTTTTTTCTACAACATGGCTCTAAACACAAGCCTTTGCTGGTTCAACCAAACAGATTCTAACCATCCAACTCTGGGTAAATTAAGAGGTTGTTAGGGATATTTTTGACTCTATGAAAATTGTACCTTATAAGCAGATGGGACTTTACTGCAAGGGACCACTAATCAAATTTGTTGGCAATAACTAAATAACAAGACCAGCTGTATATTATAACACTATGATAGAGATCATCAAGCCATCCTTCTTCATATAAGAGAATGGTCATCTTTTCTTTATATTGGGAGGACATAAAAGCCAGTTATCCAAAAGAGATATGAGTTATTAAGGAAGATGTTTTAAAACAAAGGAAAAATAGAGGGGAGTTTACAGAAAACATCTCTGCATTGCTTCCCTGGAATTATTATCGGTTCTGATAAAGGAAGAGCCCTACAGACTGACTTGTATGAAGTCCTGAAAGCCATAGACTCTTAATTTGTACGGTGTGGTCTTGCTGTTCAAAGCATTGATGCACTTGACCCACTTTGCGCTGTGAGTTGACAGGGAAAGTATTCTTCCTTCCCTTATTAGCATTGCCAGGGAAAATACAAGACACTCAGCTAAATTTGAATTTCAGATAAATAAATTTTTAGTATAAATGGGCCTTGAATACTACATGGGACATATACTAAAAAATTATTCATTAGCAACTGATATTCAAAATTAGCTGGGAATCCTATACTTTTACGTATTAAATCTGACAAGCCTACACACCACTCCTATTTTGCAGAGGCAGAGGGAACCTAAGAGACTTTTTGGAATTACCTAGGAGGCAGTGTCAAGCCATTGATGGAATCTGGTCTTTAGACTCCTCATTTGTAATACTGTCTTGACTAAGAGAAACACAGAAGACAATACTAAGTGCTATCAGGGACTGGTTGGCTGTGGTTTCCTCAATAAGCTTTCCAAAAATATGGTTTGTAGCTGTATTTTTATTGGTGAACAAGGAACAGCTGTACAGTTGATGACGCCAGTCAAGGTTCATAGTAAGAGAATGCCATCCTCCCCAAACTGGAGAATTCTTCTCTTTGTTAAAAAATAATTTTTAAATAGTCATAAGTGAAAGGGTTGTGTCTGTCTGCCTCAGTGCACAAGTTGGTCATAGGAATATTTGGAACTATAGAGAAATCCACTTACATCTCCTGGGGCCACCACATCATTACAGAAGTAACAGCCAAGCTTGTAACCAGGGATGTTCGCAAAAAGTGATGAGCCCAGGAGGTCAGCAGATGCCACAGGGTGGTTTGGATACAAGTCCCCAGCTCCTTGCTGCTTTGGTTTCTTCAGGCCATGTCTCATGACAACAAATGTGTCAAATCCCAAAGCAGCATTGATGACCAGCTGCAGGTTTCAAGGAATAAAGGAGCAGAGTTAAAAAACACATACAGCCACAAACTGTGGCTAATCTATTTGCTCAACTTTTTAAAATTTATTTTTTGCATGTCAGTGTAATTAGATTCTAAAAGCTAATGATGATAAAAGCTACCCACTACTGAGGGCTTATTAAGTAAAAAGACTTGAAAAGTGATGAACATAAATTATCTCATTTAATTTCATTTGAAACTCGTAACAGACCAGGCATGGTGGCTCATACCTGTAATTAATCCCAGCACTTTGGGAGGCCGAGACGGGCGGACTGTCTGAGCTCAGGAGTTCAAGACCAGCCTGGCAACATGATGAAACACTGTCTCTACTAAAAATACAAAAAATTAGCTGAGCATGGTGACATGTGCCAGCAGTCCCAGCTACTCAGGAGGCAGAGGCACGAGAAACGCTTGAACCCCGGAGGTGGAGGTTGCAGTGGGCCGAGATTATGCCACTGCACTACAGCCTGGGCAACAGAGCAAGATTCTGTCAACAACAACAACAAAAAACTCATAACAAACATTTCTCATTTACAGACGAGGATACTGAAAGTCAGAGAAGTTAGTTCTATAACTTGCCCAAGATCACTTACCTGGCAAGAGGTAGGTATATAAAACCAAGTCTACATAGTTTTCAAACCCATTCTTTCCACCATTATGCTATACTGTGATGTCCACATAGATTTTTTTTTTTTTTTTTTTTTTTTTTTTAAAGAAAAGAAAGCAGATACTTGAGACTTATTTTTTTTTTTTTTTTTTTTTTTTTTTTTTTGTTACGGAGTTTCGCTCTTGTTGCCCAGGCTGAAGTGCAATGGCACAGTCTCGGCTCACTGCAACCTCTGCCTCCCAGGTTCAGGTGAGTCTCCTGCTTCAGCCTCCCAAGTAGCTGGGATGACAAGCCCCCACTACTACCCCTGGCTAATTTTTATACTTTTAGTAGAGACGGGGTTTTGCGATGTTGGCCAGCTCTTGAATTCCTGACCTCAAGTGATCACCCAGCCTTGGCCTCCCAAAGTGCTGGGATTACAGGTATGAGCCACTGTGCCTGGCTTAGATCTATTTTTATGACAGCTTTACTGAGATATAATTCACATACCATATAATCCACCCTTCACACAGATTTTTTTTTTTTTTTTTTGAGACAGAGTCTCGCTCTGCCGCCCAGGCTAGCGAGCAGTGGCACAATCTCAGCTCACTGCAACCTCTGCCTCCTCGGTTCAAGTGATTCTCCTGCCTCAGCCTCCTGAGTATCTGGGTGTGTGCCATCACACCCAGCTAATTTTTGTATTCTTAGTAGAGACGGGGTTTCACCATGTTGGTCACGATGGTCTCGATCTCTTGACCTCGTGATCTGCCCACCTCAGCCTCCCAAAGTGCTGGGATTACAGGCGTGACCCACTGCACCTGGCCCAAATATTTTTTGGTATCCCAGTAGCTGGACTTACAGGCACATGCCAAAATGCCTGGCTCCGCATATTTTTTTTTTTTTTTTTGAGACAGGATCTCCCTCTGTTGCACAGACTGGAATGCAATGGCATGATCTCAGTTCACTGAAGCCTCAACCTCCCAGGCTCAAGTGATCTTCCTGCCTCAGCCTCCCGAGTAGCTGGGAGCACAGGTGTGTACTAACACACCTAGCTACTTTTTTGTCTTTTTTGTGGAGACAGTCTCACCATGTTGCCCAGGCTAGTCTCAAACTCCTGGGTCAAGCAATCCTCCCAAAGTGCTTGGATTACAGACGTGAGCCACCATGTCCAGCCCAACATGTGAATTTCTTAGAAACTATTTTTTTATTATACTATAACAACTTTTCATAGTTCTAATTTAACTTATTATCCCAAATTTCTGATTATATAGAAGTTTGAAAAATAAAGAATAACCACACTACAAAAGAAAACAAAAATCACTCACAACCCACAGCTCAAAAAATTACTATTAATAATTTGGGGTATTTCTTCCTACTATTTTCTCCCTTTCCCTCCCATTCTCTCTCTTTCTCTCTTCTTCTTGCCCTCTTTCTCTCTCCTCTCTCAGTAGACAGATAAGTAGACAGATAGGAAGACATATATGTTTATATATAAACATAATTAGTATAAAATATATATAATATTGTATCTTCTTTAATATGTGGCATTTTCCATCTTATTAAAATCCTTTGAAAACATAACTGTGAATGGCTGCATACTATTCCATCATAGGTATGCACCATGATTTAGTTCACTATTGAATACTGTTGGCCCTTTTAGTTGTCATTGACCAACTAGTAGTGAATAAGACAAAGTCTCTGACCTCTTGGAGCTTACATGTTAATGTAAATACAGTATACCTTTCAGAGTAGAGTATCTCAGAAGATTATTATGAAAATTAAGCAGTAAACGATACCTATTACATTGGGTGATGGTGTGCAAGGCAAAGACAGTCTGAAGCAAAAGCCCTTTAGCACTGTGCTACCAGGTCACAAGCCACATCTCTGCCCTGGGGAAGGGAAGGTTAGGGACACTCCTTCCTCTGGGGTGGTGGTATATTAAATCGTAACTGGAGACAGTACCTACCTTTCTCTTGCTTGCAGCAATGACAGCAGGAAGCCACCGGCTCTCCCTGGTGTCCATCAACAGAAAAATGACATCATGGTTTTCGATGAGCTGCTCCAGTTGCTCCACATCCTTGCGGGCCTGCTCCAGAGTGACACTGGAGAAGTTCACTGGATGCCCAGGCATGGGGATGCTCATGTTGAATCCCCTGGCATTCTATGGAAACACGAGGATGTAGTTATCTCTGGAGCAATGGTATAGGCAGTATCTCAGAGCCCACACTTTCCACAGCTGCCTGCACATACTTGTGGTCGCTTACATGAGATCTCCCGGTGCATTATTATGCTGCACCCTTCCCATGTCCTCTCTCTTCTTTACCTCTGCATCCTAGAACACCTTGACCTATCACCCCTGGGCCCTGAGGCAGGGCAGGGCAGGGCAGCGCGGGGCAGCAAGCAGAGACATACGGATCTCAGTTCCAAAGAGGAGAGGGCACATTCTACCTGAGGTAAGGAAGACACTGGAGAAAACTGTGTATCTTTGGCACTTTCCAGCCATCCAAGGCTAAGAAACTTTATCACAGCACCTTCGGGCTACTCAATTACATCTTTTTTTTTTTTTTTAAGACAAGGTTTGCCCTGTCACCTAGATGGCAATGGCACAATCACAGCTCACTGTAGCCTTGACCTCTTGGACTCATGGGGTCCTCCCACCTCAGCTTCCAATGCAGCCAGGACTACAGGCACACGTCACCACACCTGGCTGATGTTTTTATTTTTAGTAGAAGTAAGGTCACACTATGTTGCCTAGGCTGGTCTTGAACTCCTGGGCCCAAGGAATCCTCCTGCCGCAGCCTTCAAATTGCTCAGGATTAGAATGACTGATGATCTTGCCTTAATTCTTCAAGGGTATATGCATTTAAAAAACCCAAATACAAAAGACTCTACTTGGTAACTTAGAGCCAGAAAATCTACTTAGGAGTATGTAGATATTTTTTGTGGGGGAAGGAGTTATGGTGGGTGATGGCAGAGTATGGAACAGAGTAAGGCTTCGCTCTGTCCAAACACAGATGTCCAGCAACCTGAGTTCCCCTGAATTAGGATTTTTTACACAGGCTTTAGAACAGCTCTATAATCTGCCATCTGCCCCTTGATGACCTCATAATATTTTGGCACATTAACAGTGAGTCACATATGAGTGCTAATAATGAAGCCAAGGACACTGACTTTCCACAAAAAAAGAATGTGTTCTAGAATCATAAACTGTACCCTTAGCCCCTATATACCACTTGTCATAGGGAAGTATTTGAAAACATCAGCTTTTTCACTCATTTGACAAACCCCTCACCTACTGAAAAAATAGCTCAAGGGATAGGACAAGCAGATCTTTTTACAAAGAAATACCAAATTTGTAGTTTGTGGACACTTTTTCATTATCTTCAACTTAAACCTAATATCTGGAATTCAAAAGGAGGAGAAACAATTTCAAAAGGAATGAAAAAAGAGTGGCAAGCAAAGCAGGAAAGGATATCAGGCAGCAAGGATTTCAGGAAAAAGAAAGGTACACAAACACGTCCATTTTAACAATGAGACTACCACAACTATCCGGATCTCATTAATTAATATACTAAGTATTATGCACCTACCATGTACCAAATACTGTAATATTTATCTTATGTATTCTGGATAAAAGAAGACTATACCTGTCTTCTCAGTTTGGCTAGCTTTTTCATTCTTTGAAAGGCATCTTTTGAGAAGCTGAAGTTTTAAATTTTTAAAAAGTCAACAAAGTTACCATTTTTATTTATGATATTTACTAGAAATCTTTATATATCACAAGACCACTAAGATGCTTTCTCCTAGAAACTTTATAGGGGCCATTCTGGGTGTCACTTAAGGGCTCAGAGTATTCAATGGTCTCTCCACTCTGTATAGTTAGGACTCCAGTGTCTCCCACCTCACGTGAGCTCTGGAATCTCCATTCT